ACATCCGCCGTGACACCGCTCTCCGTCGCAAACTCTGCCACATTCACGCTCACCATCTAAACCCAACGCAATAACATTACATTCACCCTCCTCCACTGTCTCCCACCATCCACCACACACCCTAACTATGCCCTCTTCACAATGCTACTCTCACCCTACTTGTCGCGAGAGTAACACTGCGCAATCCACATCACACGAAAACAAACACCACTATGTAAGTCAACAAACAAACAGCACCACACTGACCGTCCGACCACACCTTACAGGCGAATTAGACGTACCATCACGGCAGCAATGCATCTGACATTTCAGGCCGCCAGGTACACCTCACTCACTCACATCATCCACAAACTGTCGCCACACTTCACAAACATCAAACAAACGCTCCAACCAACCACACATCACTCCACCTCTGTGTCTCACCACGTCGCCTCTGACCCACATCCTCTCCTCCTCACAATTACGCACTTTTACACCTCACATCGCACCCACATCACTACACAATCTACACATTCACCTCCCAATAACCACATGCGTCACATTCCAATTCCCACGTAATTCACCCACGCCACTACCCCATACACAACCAGCCACTACTCACCGCACCAATATCTTCACTCCTACTCCTCCTCCTCCTCCTACTACTACTACTACTATGTTCTCAATCGCTCCCCTACCTCCATCTTACTACGCAGAAAAAGAAACCTGCATACACCTCGGTGGACATAACTTTTGCCCGCAAAATTTGCACGCTCACGCCAAAACCACCTAACGCTGCCTCAACTGCTTGTGGTTCGCCCAATCTCAGGGTGCCTTCAACACCCTACTTCTCCTCCTTCCACAACGCTAACAACAAATCACCCGAGCAATTACATTCGCTTGCTGATTAGAGAGGTGAACAGACATAGCAACTACCAACGGTCAGATGATCTTCTTACTCCCTCCAAACATCCTTCATCCAACCACTCAAAACCCTGACCTGCATTCTCACAACAACACACTCTTCGCAAAACATCACGCAAACTTCCACAATCCCCCTCCCCCATCCCAATCAGCACCAACTAGCCTGCCAACCACTCTCACGCAGCCTTACATCAGTCTACACACGCCTCCGTCCTCTTCCTCCACCAACACCTCCAACCATTACTAGCCACATCACAAACCAACTCACCTCCGGCCCAACTGGCGCCGACTTAAGCACCAAAGACGCACATGCCACCATGTCCTCCGCCGGCGTGGACAAGTAGAGCCGACAGAGCAACAGCAACGCCCTCGATTTCAGGTCAGCATACGGCCTCAGGGACGGCGCCCTACCAGGCGAGGAGGATCGCGACCCCGGCAAACCCTGACTCCGCTCATACGCCTCACCCATCCCCTCCTCCATTGTCCCAATGAGGTTCAGACAATTCTTCAGAAGACGCAGCACATCAGTTAGGAAGGCACGCAGATCCGTCACATAGTCATCCATACTCCCCTTCCGTCCACCACCCAACTTTCGTGACCTCCCAGTGACCCTAACATTTGCGCTCTGCCGCTCCAAATACCGGTCTCGTTGAGACACGCGGTGCTCGGCCAGCTTAAAACAGAGCGTCGCCACCGGCAGAATAAAGGGATTCACACCTAACATGAACAAAACACAGTGCAACACCATCAACCAAAGCAGACAACAACACTGCGCAATGCAACATCTATCATCAACAAAGCGTAGCATCAACGACTTACATGACTTCATCACGGCTACAACAACAAACAAAAATGATACCAGTCAAAACATCCACAAGAACTGCAAATTACTCCCCACAACAACAACTCCACTACACTCACTACAACCAACAATCATTGACAAACACCACCACCACCACCA